CGCACAGGAGGCTGTGCATGCCCAGACGCCCGCATCCACGCCTAGCCTTGTGTGCTCATGAGGACACTGAGGACGCTTACTTCCACACAGCCACACAGCACACATCCAGTCTCGCGCCGACCAGTGGGCATTCGCATCGCTTTCCCCGCAGCAAGATGCTTAGCGGGACCCAGAAACGTGCCCCCACGCGGCTTTGCATGGGAAGAAGCCCTCGGTCATTTCCCTGTCCTGGCCTGGACCTCCACCGCCACTCTGCACTCTCTCAGCGCTGTTTCCGTGCCAGGTGCGACGTAAAGCACACGTGCCTCCACCACCCCAGCACTGCCCTCCTCCCACACTCATTGCAGAGCCAGGACCACTGGATGGGATCATGTTTGCACCTTCCTGGCCACTGGAGCGTGGCTTAGCTCCAGTCCCTGTCCTGGGTTCCTCTAAATGTCACCTCCCTTTCCTTCCTCTTGTGCAAGCCCAGCCCCCTCTGGACCCTCCACCAGCAGCAGGAAGGACACAGTTTGGCCCAGAAACCACGGATGCGCTGGATAAGGGCACTTCTCTGTTCCAGATGATGCCGCCGCCTCTGCCACATCCTGAGTTTGAGTCGAGCGTGCTCCTGGCTGGCTTGTTTATTCACGGGCTGTAGCTCTATCTGAAGGGCCTCCAGAGCCTCCAGTGGGGAAGGGCAAGGACGGAGGCCTGTCTCGAACTGCTCCTTCTTATCCTGCTTCACCTGCAGCTCCTGGGCTTCTTCCACCCATCGGCCTTCCTGCTCACTCGGCTTCTGTTCCTCCTCCTCCCGCTCCTCCTTGTCCTCCTTTCCTTCCACCTCCTCCTGGCCCTGCTGCTGCTCCTCCAGCGCTCCCTTCTCCTGCTCCTCTTCCTCCTCGGTTTGCAATTCGGCTCTCCCTTTAATGGCTCCCACGCCTTCCCTTCCTCCTCCTGCTCCTCCTCCTGGTCCTCTTCCCCCACCACCGCCACCGCCGCCACCGCCCCCGCTTGTATACCCTGGTGCTCCTGCTCCTCCCCTTTCATTTCCGCCAACTCCTCCTCCTTCCGCTCTTCCTCCTTCTGCTTGGGCTTCTGCTTCTCCTCCTCCTTCTAATCTTTTACTCCTGCTGCCTCTCCCCCTCTTCTTCCTCCTCCTCCTCCTTCTGCTCTTCTGTTCCTGCTGCTCCCCCTCGTCCTTCACGTCCTCCTCCTCGTGAACCTGGACCTTCTCCTTCCCCGGCTCCTGCTCCTCGTCCTCCTCCCCCTTCTTCCTCTGGTCATGCCCCTCTTCCCCAGGCGCGTCCTCTTCCGCTGCCGCCACCTCAACCTCCTTCTCCACCAGGCCCCACAGCGCCTCCACCGCCACTATGCCATGCCCCAGCGGCACTGATATCTCACTGGGGCCGCCCACCTGCCCCTCGGGTCGGGCCTGGCCTTCCTGCACAGGCTGTTCGCTGGTGGCCTGCAAGCCTTCGGCCTGCGGCACCTCCGGCCCTGCCGGAGACCCACTGTCCCCACGGGCCCTCGTCTCTCGACCGCCCCCTTCCTGGTCGAAGGCGGCATGGGGCCTCCGGGCATCCCCAATGTTTCGGAAACACGAGTCGCGCATCATGCGGCCCCGCCCGAGACAGGAACTGTGGCTGCTACCGACGACGAAGCGGGAGGTGAGAGCACGGCCCCCCTCCCCAGACCCAGTCAGTGGAGACCTGAGGGCAATGGCTGGCAACTCGCTCCCCCTTCCTCCCAGAGCCCAAACGTCGAGGGGGCGCATGCGCATGGTGCTGTACCCAGGATGCCTCGCGGTGGCTATCGCTATGCTGCTGCTGCCTCGGAGGCCTTTGTGGTGAGAGGTGTGCGCCTGCGGCTTTGAGGCTGAGGGAGCTCCAAGC